GAGCATGATCTACTCGCCAGAAAAAAAAACGTATTGGAACAGGCAGCATTTTGGCATGTGGTAAAAGTGGTGTAGGTTTTAGTACTGCGAGCAAATCTTGTCCTGAAGACCAGTGTACAAATCGCTTTGACTTTCTCTTTGCCTAATACACGCGACATTCCCAGCCGCTCCAATTCCAAAAGACTTGCTTCGACAGCTGAGTTAAAATTCGAAGTTACATCCGCCATTTCTGAATTCGGAATAATTCTTTCCCGCAGTTGCATGCAAATGAAAATGGAATAAACAATATAGACTTACCGTTAATTGACAGGCATCAATCTACTTCCCTATGCCGCACCAATCAGGAGCTCCGTTTGCCAGCGTACGGAGATTCCCAAAAGAACAAAGATATCGGGCAGGCGTATTTTTTTTCCCCCCTCGCCCTCCCCCTTTCCTTCTTTCGCCTTCGCACCTACCGTTAGGGTTACTATTTCTACTCTCCCCAATCTTCCACTGTCATAAACTCAAAGATGGCGGCTACGACAATACGAACACAAACAACTGTTTCGCCCACCCAAAATACGCCTGCACCGCAGGGTAAGTTGATAGCCTTATATGTACGCCCAAAAAATAGCAATTATCTTCGATCACATTTAAGAGCCATCATGGCTCTTGATCACAGTAGATTAGGCCTGGAAAACAAATCAGACCGAATTTTTTGCGTTCGACAAGTTTACTTTACAAAATCTTGCCAGTAAGTCTGGGGACGTGTGAACCAACCTTTTATACTTTTTATACATCAGATCTGAAGTGAAACAGTACCATGAGGCGCTGTTTTTATCGTTCAGACCTCGGACAGAATGTAGTATTTCACAATTTTGCAATACAAATTGCACCCATTCAATGTTCAGTACGATCGAAGCACGCGTGGGCTCAGTTTTAGCGAAACCGTCAACAAAATTTCCAAAATCACCTGTACGGCTAGCCGGTTCTCTCTTTTGACGAGCGCCAAAGTTTTTAAATTAAGATTAATATAGTTATACGCTTAGTCAACATAATAAAGAATTTATTATGTTTATTATTTATTTAATGATTTTGTAACGATGTTAATTTTCAAAAGCGTTTAATACGCGCGGCATTTTGACTACTCCTGCAAGCGATGTTCATAAGCGACTGAAAACAAACGGGACAGCGATTTAAATTGGAAAAGAGACTACTAACAATCAGTAAAAGGAAAATAATACGGTGAAACATATACAGACAACAATTTTCATTCACGGAGACAAGTATTAAAGTGTCTCAGAAAATCCTTGTTTATGTTTTAAGCCGGCTTCCCCAGCCGGTGTTTGCTTTTTTCAAAGATGAACTAGAGGCAACAAAATCGCTCAAAGCTTTCTTTTACAGCCAGAATTATAACTAAATATTTTTTGGAACGTTTTGTTTCTATCTGCGGTGAGAAAATGTCTAAAGGCTTTTTAAAGTTCTATAGGCTTATAATCAAACCTGATACTCGGTCACTCTCGGTCAGATCATTGTCTCAAATCTTACAAACGTGCATAAAACAAATAGCCGCATAAACTACGCTCGACTTCATTAAATGAGATATAAAAAACAAACATCAAATACAATAATTACTCAGGCTTACCATTCGAGATGCACTGAAAACCATCAAGTAAGGCCAGAATCGCTTCAGACTTTTCAACCGTCTTACGCATCAAGCAAGGCCTAGGTGAAAAACGAAAACGATGCCATCCGAAATCGGATTTCCGACTTTGTCAAAGCAACGTATTTCTCAACGAAAAACCCAATAAACAAACTAGCCATGAATATCGGAAGACTCTTGATAGCAGCTGAATTTCACTTTGTACATTCAGTGGAAAAAGACAGTTAAAAACATCACAAGTTGACACGAAACTCTGTCAGCTTCAGCTGTCAAAGTAAACAAGATTTAAGATGCTACATAAATTTTCCGCATGAACTCACCCGTCAAATTTTGACCAATCAGAGTATAAAAATTGGACGTAGAGCGTGACTAACGCGTGACCTTGGAGAGAAAAGTCAAAAGCAACTGGCATTTTAATTGTGCGCCACATAAAAAAACACAATATATTTCATATGAATTAAAAAAATTAAACTTGAGCCTGCAATCATTTGAAAACTAGTAACTTGTCAGCGGATAACTTCAAAAAGATACTCGACCTCGATGGGTCGACACCTGAGCCTGCGATACAGTCAGGTGATACTGGTCAGCGGATACCCTGTTTTGACAGTTGTCAATTGATTACAACATTGATGTGCAATATGTGCGCAATATCAATCTTCCTGTGCTCCCAAACTAGCTAGAAAGTGTGAGATTGAACATTGGTTGCCCTGTGGTGCGGATGGACGGGCGGGCGGTGTATGGTCACGTGATTACCAAATTTTCTGGGATGGGTAGATTTACTTACCCATGGTGCTCCGCAGGCGCGCTTTGCGCGCCAGAGCTCCGCTAAAATTAACACCAGATAGATTTTTGGAGCACCACCATAAGGTGATGAAAGTAGCCGCTACCCAAAAGTAACAATATTGTAGAATTATTCAAAAGGCAACCGGTATTATTATTCATTATAAATGCAAAGAAGATCATCGCAGTTGGAGATGAGGCCTTAAAGCAGTTGGGAACTCAACGGTACGAAAAACGTCAGGCTTGCCGAGATTCAAAGCCTGGCGTCTGCGATACAGATGCAGTCTGTTCTAACCAACGGAGCTACCAAACCAGCTGAGAACAGGCCACTCACAAAATTTTCGGGAAAGATGAACTGGATGAAGTTATGAATATATGAAATTCTTATACTGGAACCACAGAATGAGGAAATAAATGCAAAGAATATTGTTGCAGTTAAAGATGCAACTTACATGCATTTGCAATAGGAAAGAATGAGATCCTGAGCAGTCGTTTCACTCGAAACACTTGCTTGCTACCCCCCCAACCCCCTTACCCGCAGTCAACCTCATCCGTATTCCGGAGCCCCCTATTTTTCCGCACCACACCCGCCTCAAAATCTTCATATCCGCTCCTCTCCATATCAATTTAAGTTTGGCTATTAATGGAAGTAACAAGGAACGTTATTTTCTGAACTTTAAACAGTGGTTCTCTTCTGGGAAGCGCGGAATGAAAACTCAAAATTTGATTTTTCACAGCTAAACAAACCTGATGTATAAATTTTAACTAAAGCATTTTAATCAAAGAAATTAACGAAGACGACATGTTAAGATTTACTCCCAAAGAATTTGAATGATGTCTTAGCACTGACTTTTTGGGAAAGTAAAAACACACACGCTCGTGTTTCGTTAAATATTAAAACTTAATAAGGCAATGTAGCGGACAAACACGTTCACTTGGTCTTTAGACTAAGGCAGTGATGCGTTAAACCATTAATTTATTCCCGGCGGGGGATTTTAATTCATCTCGATTAAAATCTCTACAAGAATCGAGGTTTTAACCACCTTTATCAGCTGGATAAGAATGAAAAATGAGACAAAATGCTGTACCTTTTAAACAACATTGAAATTCAAAATAAACTGCAAACTATTTACACTTACGTTACGGTTTTGTTGGATGAATTATTTGCTGAAGCGCCCACAGGCGGCCCAGACGTAGTATGTGTCACTGAATGAATATATTAATATCCACATGGACAAATTAATGCGATGAGTCGTCGAAACTCCCATGGACTAAAATAGTCTAAAAGTCAAAATATAACAAAACAAAGCTAAGATACCTTCAACTGAACGTATCCTTGTCTTTCCTGGCCGGTTTAAGTGGCATTTTGTTGAGTTTTGAAATTGTAGGTACTATCCACTAAAGAAGAATTAAAGGCTGGCTACAAAACAAACAGACCATCTCCACGCGCCTTCACACGAACCGCTATAAATTGGAGAATAATCGACGAATCCGCTCCAAATAACCATCGGCTAATCACGTGTCTTTGTCCAGTATTATGGATAATTATTCCAAGTAACTTTTCAGCTTTTGCAAAGTAAAAATTGTCATAAGTTATTTTTACAGGTCTTTCAAAAGAAAGGAACTATTTTAAGAAAACAGAATAAGAAAGGTCCGGTATTGTGACTTTTTTTAACGTTTTCCTTTAGTCACGAGACAGGTCGAACGTTAACAACAGAGAATATGTTGCGGCATGCTCTGTGAAAAGTTAAAGAGAATGGATTCGTTAAAAAACAGTTTAGACTCAGTCGTTGTTTCTGTTCTCCTAAAAACAACAGTCAGCTCGAAAAGAAACAGTTTGCCAAGTCAACCGGTCGACACAATCGCTATAGGCAATTTATGCTAGTCGTTGGAGTGCTAAAGTATTCATTCGACAAGAGCTTTTGTTTGATATTAAAATAATCAGTAGGGAACTTTAGCGAGGACGACGACGACGTCAGTGAAAACGTCGGTAAAACAAATGAATTTGCGTTCTTTCAAACTTAATCGCGTCTATTTGGACCCGCTAAATATGTCAAATGCAGGCGACTTTTCCTGGAGTTGAATTCTTACGGATTTTATTCAGCTTCAAAAAGATAAAGGAAAAGTCGTCGTCGTATGTCCACGTCCTCCATAAAACGTTAAATTAGGAGGTTTCACGTCGTAGTCGTGCAGTGGACGTCAAAGAAATGCACTAAAAAGCGTGATGCACGCGCAGAGTTGTTGTTTTGATCATTAACCCTATTTTTTTTTTTTTGAAGTCGTCGTTGTGGTCGTCGTCGTAGTTGCTTAAGCTCCCTAATAATGAGTATTGTAGCCAAATCTAGTCCACTCACTTTGTGGAATAAAGTAAGTTAACCTGCAAATAATTGCAACAGGAGATATCCTAACTGTTTTAAACCCAGACACTTATTCTTGATAACATGTCAAAAGTCCCAAAAAGTCCCGGTAGGGGAAGTCTCTTAAAAACGGGATTCTCAGCATGAGAATTTGTTTAATGTTTTAAGATTTTATTCATGTTTACTGTAACTGCCTATAGTCCATATTTTAAGATTAGCTTTTGGTTTAATTTATTTATTTTTAAGAGTATTTTAGTATAATTGTATAGTTTTTATTAGTTTTATCATTTTAATTAATTTTTATCAGGGCCCCAATTGATAGTAGTGCCTAAGGCGTCTGAATGGGCTACCCTGATATGAATATATAAAGTCTCTCTCTGATAGCGAAAGTGGCCTATTGAGAGGATCCGAAACCTTTCAAGTAGACCCTCTTTTATTGTGGAGCCAAGGCTAACCAAAGGCCGTTCTTCGCACCATATAATGGAATCCTCATTCCGGAATCCGGGAAATTTTTTCTTATGGAATCTGGAATTCTGGGTTTTGTAATCCGGAATACAGCTCAAAGAATCCGGAACCCAACTAACGATTAGAATCCACCAGAATCCAAGATCTACTGACAAATACTGGAATCCAGTATCAGGTATCCGGAATCCACCGTGTGGATTCCAGAATCCAAGACTGTCCTGGATCACCTTACATGGGGCGAAAAGGTTATAGTTTAACGTTATGCTAAAGGCGTGTTTTTGTAATAAAATCCGGTAAAAACGGTAAAATTTGGGGAAAATGTTAAGGTAGCTACAATGTTTTTATGCTTCAATGCCGGCTATCCACCTGAGAAATTATTAAATACTCAGTTGGGGCCATTTAACGTTCATCACGTTCATCGTCGAGTGGATTTTTTTATTAATAGCTTACAACAGCGTGTTGCTGTTTTCGCGGAAATGTTTTCTGTGCATTGTGTGTTGGTTTTAATGAGAAATTTAGATAACTGAAGAAATTATAAAACAAAGTTGATCAGCGCTTATGTGGAACGAAACGAAGGGGAAAACAGAATGGTAAGAAATGGCTTAAGACGTGAGTCGCAGATTAGATTATTTTAATTTTTTTCTTCTATTCAGTAACTTTTACATGTATAAGTCCACCGCAGCTCATCTCACCATTGAGTCAGCACGTTATAATGACAGATTATACCACTTCATCAAGAAGAGATCGAGAGCGTTACGAAGATGATTCAGCCTACTTTAGTAGGATGTATAGTATATCTAAATACATATAAACCTGGTTTTCACTATTTTGTTTCAAAGTTTGCAGTCATCCTCTAAGATGAAAATAGTGAGAAGAAGGGGTATTAACGTCAAACAGTTACAGTCGGGTTGATGGAATAGACTTTGCTCCAGAAATTTCCGTGGTCCCGAAGTCCAAGTCCAAGTTTGGCCCTGATTGGTGGGGTTAGAAAATGGAGGAGTGGCCATCAGAAAATGTTCTGTCGTTGAGACTCTTATCCATTTTGGATCAAAAAATGGATCGATTTATGTTTCTGGGAAACAGCCCACCTACCCCTCCCTTACGCTACTATTAACACTTGTTTGCTTGTGCTATTTCATTGTTTAAATGCGTATAAAAAAGCATATTTAATAATTACTGAATGAGGCTGAGTATATGTCTCAAGGATGCATGATTTGAGGAATTGACGCAGATCGAAATAATAGCCTCCGAGATATTTTCTTCCTGTTGCTTTAAGCAGTAGTTTCTATGTTTCGCTCAATTTGGTGGACAGTTCCCCAGTGACTGAATTTAGTTAAAATTGATTTCGTCGACGCAGCTCCTTTAAGATCTGAATAAGAAATTTTTACTGAGCCAGTTACGCCAGAGCTCTAACTCTTTCCTGTTGCTGCCAAGTAAACAATGTTACAAGTGATTATCTAACGAACACGAAATAATACGATATATTTCATCTATTACTAGCAAACAAATTTAAAGACTCCTTATAGTGAGTTGTCTCTAACCACGAGTAAAAAATTGGTTGGAAAAAAACAAAACGTATCACCGCAATCAACAATTCTGCTTAGAGTCAAGCAGGCACCAGGTTGCTCAAGTCAGTGCGGATACTCCTGAGGCTAACGAAAGTTGCACGACTTATACCAACCCGCTTACGATATTTGATAAGACATGGGTTACGAAGCAGTGTCACAGTCACATGCCAGGGATTGAATGCTTTTTGAGACATACGCGGGAGTCTTCGCTCACGAGAATACACTGCAAACGAAAAAAAGAACAGAATTAGCTGCCTATACACCAAAGAGGTGAGGTTTTTTAAAATTGTAGCGTCAGTTCCGGTTGACGTGCGTCGTTAAAAAACGTCTTTGCTTACTCCCTAATACAAACCCTCGAACTATAACGTAACATTTTATGCCCCAATTATAATAAAATGTGTTGAATAGGGCCCCGATTTAAAGTGCCCAGGAAATGACGCAGGTGCTTGTATCCCCAGTCGCTAATCGCATCTCGTTATGTTGGGTTCTACTGTTTAAATGATGTTTCAAATATTTGATGAATTTAACAAGGTTAACCAAGCACATACCAGAGGCATCCCCATTTTCCTTTGAACAATCGCGGTTCTCAGACTGAGCACCTACTGGAGATTCCGAATTAGGCTGGTGAACTTTGTCCCTGTTTATCAGTAGCTGACAAAACAAAAGCATCACGGGATGGCTCTGAGCAACAAGCAAGTTGATAAAACCAAGGTAAGCAACAAATGCTGTAGAAGAGAAGGATAAGAATGTGAGATGGAGGGAGACTGGAACCTCATGGCAAGCATAACTCAGTGAGTGAACACATTAAAAGGCAAAGGCAAAGGTTGTTGAATGATTGGATTGCAAATGTCGTTGTTAACAACTTACACTCTTTTGGGGAAGGGAGACAAACGGTTTAGGAAGGTAGTAGCCTGGCCATAGACAATCTGACAGTGCGAGCGCGTTAGAGCAAGCAAGGAGCACTCCTGGCGCCGGGGGTGAATAAATCCCCCGCGGTTTTTATTTCCATACGCGCGCTCGACGATCTTTAAGGGGAAAAATAGAGGGTCTGTGAACAGCCCAGGGAGGAGGATTATAATGTGTCGAAAAGATAAGAGACGAGGGAGAAATCAGTCGATAAAGAAGGGATGAGAGGGAGAGCAAAAAAATAGGGACGTATGACATCGATATTATCTAATGTATCGTATGGTCTCTACCGCGATAACCGCCCTCACTGTGAACTGACTGCATGTTGTAAGTTATTTCTAGTTGTTTTCATATTTTAAATGCAAGTAGAATAAAAATTATCATGGTTACGGAAAACCGTGTACAGTTTCCCCCTTTAAAGATTTCCACATGCCTCGGTCCAATCTTTGAAATTCCTTCATCAAGGTCGACCGGTCTATACGAGCCAGGAATACAACTCCTAGAACGATACCCAAGGTGATGCGAAGAAAACCAGAACACAATCCGACCAGAATGTTGAAAAAGAAGAAGAAGTATGACGTAATCGAGAACAAGCGTCTGCAATATAAATAATAAATCAATCAATCACTCAAATAAACATATAAATAATTATTAAAATAAATCAATAAAAGAAAAGGATGGAAGACAGAAAGGGTGATAAATGTGACCCTTTTGCCGCGTTGTCACGTACGGTAGGTTGAACTGTTTTTACGGTTAAGGTTCAAGAACCACAAGAACCACAAGAACCACACCAGAAGACATAGTGAAGATGGCAAATACCTGTTATCCACAGTGATGACAATCCTGGGAAAATCTCTGTCGCGGAAAACATAGTGGACAAGAAACAATTGGAAGAGATAGAGGACAACGGACATGATAAATGCGTACCTGAAGTAAACCACAAAAAATTATTACTCAACGTAATTGATGTTAAGTAGCTTTAGACTTAAATTGCCATTGGTCAATTCTTAGTCACGTGGCCTTGACTAAATTTAATAGCATCTTGTTTGTGATACAATTCAGCAATTGAACCCAGCTCAAGATACAACAGCACGTGTTCAACATAGTGGAACGCGGCGTGAGAGAAGGCAGGAAAAACCGACTGCCAATTTTTCCTTTCGTAAATAAACACAATAATAAAAAAAAAATGTTGTCTCAATCTTAAAGGAGCGATTTTTGAAGATATCCCTCGAGTCCTGATGTTTCCATCAACTTCGTCTTGAGTGTGTCAGGCAACAACAACAAAAACTGAGGAGGAATGGATTTTTCCTTTCCAAATTGCATGACTTCCTACCACGTATGATGCCACAGTGACTTAAATGTAACCATAGCAACCAATTTTGACCAGACTTGGCAATAACTAGGCGCTAAACGAATTATAAAGTTGCTCCTGAAGAGAGGAGGTTTGACAACGTATCATAGCGAAACAATGCAGAGAATAAAGTAAAATTATTATTCATTCAAAATATTTTCCCGATTGTGATTGGCTAAAAGCACTCGTTTAATTCACCATAACCAGTTACTGATGACCAAATTTGGAAGAATTTTGTGTTTAACGAGAAAATGACGTCAAAAATGCAGCGTTTTCGCAGGTTAAAGCACCGTTAACCGAGAAGACCTAGGGACGAGGTTGAGTTGTTTTGATTGTGAACTTGAAAAATGGCGGACATTTCACTCGTTTCAAGAGCAAGAACTAGGCGAAAACATAGCTAAAAACATGGCAAGAACAGCAAGAAGACAACTCCAAGGGCGCCATCTGCTATTTGGAGAATATTTGCCGAGCTGGACAAACCTAAACGTACACTATTGAAGATGAACTGAACATCGATGGATCGATGGAGGTTAGCTTGTTTTAGCCATGTTTTTAAACTAGGAATTATTTTGAACGAATAATAAAACAACTATTATTTCAGACATCCCACGGTTTTGATTTTAGTCTTCGATGGTGTGACAGGGGAAACCACCAATACAAGCCAAAAAGAATGAAATAAGCATCGAATTACACCCGAGGAAGAAAATCATGATAACATAAGTAGTGATCGTTTCTTATACACGGCGCGCATAGTGAAGTATAAACCTATAAAAACTCACCAAAAGATTCATTCACAAAATGTACGTCGCGGATGCAACAGCTGAAGCAAACAAACTTAAACAAGAACGCTCTTAGTAGCGTTGAGTCTCGCTTGCTTGGAGATAAATTTTATTGTCAGCTGGTGCTGTTATGCTACTTTTTTCGTTTGGAATACAAAACGAGTGTTATATGTCATAAGGTAAAAACTTAAAACTTAAAATTTGGAAGGAGAGACAGGCCGCACATCTTAGCTTCACATCGGTGTGAAGCCTTTGAAAACCTTCTGCATATTGATATTGCTCCGGTGAGGAGAACTCTTTCAGGGATTTACACTAAAAAAATTGAAGGATGATTTTTATTCGAGTATAAAAATATATAGCTTCTATGCAGCGAACACGATACGGTTCGGTACATTTTTTGTTCAGCATAAGAAAAATGTGTAATTTTAGCAAAACCTTATACAACAGACAGTTAATTGAGTTCGAGCGTATTCCAGTTGAATTTGTTGCCCGTTTTATGAGGTTTTATCAAAATTGCGTGAAAGTAATTTCATTTTCCATGGCTGCTAAGCATCTGCTTTTAATATCTTCGTACAGATGATGTTTACGCGATCTTAGAGTACAATGTTTAGAGCTGTACACAGCGTGCATTTTATTACAGTATCACCGGCATAAAGCTTTTCATTTTCCAGGAAAATTTCACTTCCTCGTCAAAACAATCACTGAGGTCAGTCAGACTCGGAGTAGTTTACTGAAATTTAGTGTTCAGTACAGCAAGCGGGGCTATGTATTGTGAAATTTATCTACAGTCTGTGGCCCACATCACCACGATCCACGATTTATTTATTTAGTTGATTTTCAAGTTTTTTTTAACCGATCCTCGATCTCCGATCCCCGATTCTCGCTCCCCGATCGTCCATCCTCGATCCTCGCTTCTGGTTTTCCAGTAAATCTCGAAGTTTTGCTCATTAAGATTGTTATTTTTTTCGACCACTAAAGTAATCAATTGTTTCAAAGCAATCAACACTTTCAAGCAATAGAATTCGTCGACCGACCCGTTCCAGAAAAGCTCGATATGGGATTTCTATTCTATGGACATGAAATGCTACAAGTAGAGTGCGTGATTAGTTTAAAGCTAGCCGTATAAACACATTCGTGACACATACTTAACGTCAGACACATAGTTGAAGTTGCTTCCAGTAGTACTCGAAGGTTAAATCATTGATTTCTCAAGTATTTATAAAGTGCAACGCGACTTTACATCTTAACAAATGCGAAAATCTATCAATTAAATACCTACAACAAAGTGAATCTATTTAACCGCAGAGTTACAGTAATTGCGACAATATTCTGAGAAACGTAACGCCTCAATACACCACGAGAATATCTTCCCATCCTACTCGGGGTATTTACCCGTGCATAATTACACGAAAGTCAAGGGTCTCGATTTGGGGAAAATTTCGTCATTGCCAAACAGCGAAAACGCTTTCAACTTACATGCGTCATTTCATTCATCGCCGAAGATAAGCCGCATGCTCATCACAAGGCTCATTTGCATACAATGAAAGTCGTCACGAATCTTATCCCCAGTTTCCACGGTCTCCGTTAGGAACGCCTGGGAGCATGCCCCCTTTTCGCGACGGACCGACAAAAAAAAAAAAAAACGTTTGCATTTTTAGAGTCTCGCTCTGCTAAAGCAAGCAAGCTACAAATTTTACTTACATCAGTGATTTCGCTTTTTCTACACACCATTCCCATGCTTCTTTGGGAAGAAAACGTTTTAAATACTTAGGACCAAATACAAGGCCAAAAAGAACAAGCCATAGAAGCATTCCCATCGAAATATATCCTGAAAAAAGAAAAAAGAAATCACGCACAGTGAAACCTGTCATATGTTGCGTTCCTTTTGACCAATCTAAATCCGGATTCTGCTATTCAAAATTTGATTTTTCGTTCACTAAGGACCAAACCAATCTTAAATTGCAATCTGAACGATCCACCTCCACACTTGGATAGTTCAGATTGGTATCCCATCTGGATTCAGATTTTTGTTCCATTTGACGAAACTGCTTTTCGATCGCAAGATCGTGCTCGTTCATCGATAAACACGGTGTGTCAAGCAAAAATTGCTAATACTTCTCCGTTGTCTTATGCCGCTGAAGAATTGAAGTATATTAAATTCAAGTCCACATGCACATTTTTTTCTAAAAAAAATTGTTTGAATCAAATTCCAGATAATTTCAAGTTGACGAGTCCCAGTATAAGCCGCCACTATTTAAAGAGCTACTTTCTCTTCCAACGCTTGAAAACGATACGTTGATATTGGGAAGAAGATCAGAGCAGCACGCAGCTACTGTATGGATCGATCTTATTTCATATTTTTGTTCCGGCTAGCAGGAAGATCTAAACAATCTGGATTGTCTAAATCTGAGAAATGTTTGGCTAAAAGGAACGTAACCATTAGAAGACCCCATATTTAACTGACACTCGCGAATGTAAGTCATAGACATTTTCCCTAATTCAGTTTTATGGAAAACGAAACTGAATGTATTCAACGGGATAACCCTCCCAACCCTTTATTAAGCTGATACAAGCGATCAGTCCTGTGGATGTCAAGTCTTCTTCTCAGATTCTTCGCAGCCTCCCGTCACGCAACGCTCATTAAAGTACTTTTATGGGTTACGGGATAGTGGTGGAAAATGGCAAGTCAAAGGCGATGTGGGCACTTTCTAATCTGACCTCAAACCATACACATCTTCTATACGAAGTAGTGAATGTGATTTTGAGCCAGGTTGCAACGCGGACTGACTGTTTTATCTTACTACAGTACAAGCTGTTCTAACCGTTCTACCCCTTAGCCCGAAGAGTGATTAGCATTAAATTTCTTCTTGTAATAATCTTAACTTGATAATACAAAGTGGTACCGAGAATCAAGGACTTGATTACACAAGTTAGTTTCTATTGTCACTTTAACAACTTCTCAAGCATGTTAAGGCATGATGCCTCAAGTTTTTGTTTCGACTCCCCGCGAAGATAAAGCTGTTTTTCGTCTACGGCCATGCATTCTACTTCTAAAAGTTGCAAAAACTTTCGAGAAGATTTCTTTGGAGGCGTTGAATTAATTAGGGTTGAACTGATGTAGTCACGTGAAACGTGATGTCATAATGATATTCAAAAAGAAATTTAAAATGGGGTAGGAATCGTTGATTACAACTAAGTTTGAACTTTGTGTAAATGTTTGTTTTACCGTACGAATTTTTTCCGTGGCCGGAACAGAGAATCTTTTTAATTTCTTAAGAAGATATTAACAGGTGAAAAGTGTCACGTGACCTATTTTGCTTAATTACTAATTATACATATATATAAAAAGAGTCAACCATTGCGGCCAGATACAAGCGGGAAATGATGATACAATAACAATAATACTGTATTTATACTGTGTGGCATCTCGCCACCCCATTTTTAGTGTTCTTTTCTTTCCTGGACTCGACCATAAGTGGTCACGTGACACAGATATCTGATTTCTTACGTTACAGGAAAATTAAGGTTACCGATTTTTCCGAGCTTGCCAAACTTTGGAAGGTTCTGATAAATTTTCGCAAAGTTATGATCATTATAAGATTTTATGCAAATTAGCGCCAGGGCAAGCCTTATCATGCTTGAGTTCTCCGCAGTGCTTGTATAGGAACTGTATAGGGAAAATTTGAGTTTATTTCAATATTTAACGATTAATGAACGAGGCTGAGTATCTTATGAGGAATTATGGTGATCGAGGAGGGTTTTATCCGTCGAGGCTGTAGGCCGAGGCTGATAAAACCCTCCGAGATCTCCATAATTCTTCATATGATACGAAAGCCGAATTCAACAACCATTTTATTATTCATTCGAAATAATTCCTAGTTTAAAAACATGTCTAAAACATGCTTACCTCCATCGATCCATAGATGAGAAGTTCATCTTTGAAAGTGCACGTGTAGGGTTTGTTCAGCTCCGCAAATATTCTCCAAATAGGAGACGTCGCCCTTCGAGTTGTCTTCTTGCTGTTCGTGCCATGTTTTTAGCTATTATTTTGCCTAGTTCTTAATCTTTAAACGAGTGAAATGTCCGCCATTTTTGTTTTACAACCGAAACAACTCAACCTCGTCGACAGGTCTTCTCGGTTAACGGTGCATTAACCTGCAAAAAAGCTGCACTTTTGACGTCATCGATCCATAAAACGCAAAATTCATCTAAATTTGGTCATCAATAGCTGGTTATGGTGAATTATGCGAGTGCTTTTAGCCAGTCAGAATCGGGGAAATATTTTGAATGAATAATAATGGGTTTTAAAGGCCGGGTTAAGAGGAGACCCTCTAGTCATTTACGCAGCCATTGTTAGCTATTGTTTAAGAAGAGCTTTGTGAAGGCTGAACAAGAAAAAGAACCGGTGAAACTTGTAAATGTCAGCTTTTACTGTAGTATGATAGTTACAGCCAAACAGCATAATTATTCATTGCAACCTAAATCAAAATCCCTTGTAGTAAGTTGTATAAATGTGGTTTCAGTTCAGATAAAGTGACTACATGTTTAAGGTTCAAGAAAGAAATAGCCTTTGACTTTGACTAGCCATTCTTTACCACCATCCCCGGACCCACAGAAAATGTCTTTAATGAGCAGGTGTCATTCCTTTTTGCTGGCTAACGACGGACTTGCCAGTTTTCTGTTCTGTTTTTGTTGTTGTTATTATTATTTTTTTTGGTATTTAGAGTTGTAAGACAAGTGGTCATTCACTTGAGAAGACTTTTTACGTGACCTTTGTTGACGTACCGTACGTCGATCACCATACTTAGAAAGATAAAGCCTGCTTAACGCCCTCTTATCTTATCGTTAAATGTTCATAACATTAACCCTTTAAGCACTAAGAGTGATCAGCATCAAATTTCTCCTTGTAAAACCAACAGAGAGTGGTCATGAGAATTATGGACATGATCACACAAGACGGAATTTGCTTGAAGTTTTATCATATTCTCCCCACTACTTGTGTAAGAAATGAATAGGTGCAACAAATGAGAATTCAAATTTTGTTCTTAGGTTTTAAAGGGAACCTCCACTCTTACTACAGAATAAGTTTAAATCGAATAAAATTATGTTGATAAACAAATTTGTTCGAAATTTGTCCTTAAAAAAAGTGTTTATATCAGGAAAAGTGAATTTTAGAATCGCTTATTTTCACTTTCAAATTTCGCAGGCGCCGCCATCTTGAATAATTGTGACGTGTTACGGTTGCTCTATTGTTCTGACACAAATAGCTTTTGTTTAATAACAATAGGGCAACCGTAACACTTCACAATTATTCAAGATGGCGACGCCCGCAAAATTTGAAAACAAAAATAGGCGAATCTAAAAGTTATTTCTTTCGGATACAAACGCTTTCTTTAAAAATATTTTAGATTGACTTGACTGTAACAGTTATTTCCCGTGATTTAAAGTTATCTTTTTGTTGAAGTGGAGGTTCCCTTTAAAGGGTTAAAGGATTTCAGCCACTCTCACTTTAAAAATGCGTGTCGAGAGGAAATTTTCTCTGCAAGCATAGTTTTAAAAAATATGGGCCACTTTTAGTCCACGTTCCAGTCTTGTAAATGAAACCTTCAGCAGTTCCGCCATAAGCAATCAGTTTTTTCTTTTACTTTGAACTTAAACATTTCAGATGGCAGTAAGGAAATGAACGGGACAATGGATTAGAGCAGATTTCCTCCATACTAAGAAAAAAAAATACTAGATGCTACTAAGCTTACGAAAGTGATATATTAGAACTCCTACCATAAATTGTATAGGCAACTTGATATCCCGAGAATCGAAGACTCCCTAACTGAAATTAAAAACAAACAAACAAACAAACAAAAACAATTCTGAGCACCCCTAAAGGAAGTCAGTCACAGAAAGTTTATGATTTCTGATTGGTTTTATTTGCTTGTTTCTTAGACATGCGCTTTGGAAGACTCGTGGAGGGTCAGGCCATACAACGACTAGGATCATTTTGTGGAAAAAAATGTTATATCCGAAAACGACGGTCCGACAAACTAATTAATTTGTGTAATATATATAAAAAGTGTTATGCAGCTTCATGAATGGCACGGGGTTCATACAAACATTTTTTAAGGGCTTTTCAAGGTCTTTTCAAGAAAAACATTTAAATTTCAAGGACCACCTACCAGGAATGTAATTTTAGCGGAGCTCCCGCGCGCGCAGCGGAGCACCATGGGTAAGAAAATTTGGTAAACTATCCATCCCAGAAAATTTGGTTATGACGTAGCGTACGCCCACCCGTACACACACTTCATTTAAGCCGATGTCAAATGTCACAATAGATCTTGCACAACTTGACTAGCCTTTCAGTTATGTAAGCCATCCGTATGAGTACGATTAGATTGACAGCTGTCAAAATCAGACATCCGCTGACAATTATCACATGACTATGTCGCGGGCTCAGATAAAAGACCAGTCGTTTTGCCCCTACATATAAGCTGTCATAATATGTCACACTTGCCAATTCAACATAAAAACGAAACTACGCCGGGCAAGGCAGTCAGTTGGCTGACAGTCGTTTAAAGTTATATTGGGAAGCCAAATTAAGGTCAATTGACAGCTGTCAAAACAGGACATGTGCAGACCAGTATCAGAAAACTAATAACGTGGGCTCAGGTTCGCTGAGGTACACGATCTGGCATTTTCTACTACAAGCCGGACGGATATGCCTTACTCACACTCGTAGTCTGTTAATTCGAATATTCGCCAATCTAAATAAGGTTAATTGACAGCTGTCAAACTAGAGTATACGCTGACCATCATCACCTGAGTGTATCGCGGGCTCATTTTTCTATCCATTGAGTTCACGTAGTGTTTTAAGTTTTGCGCTGATATTTTATTTGATCACGTGCTCAATTCGAAGCCCCAGAGGTTAGAAAATCTATCCATCCTACAAAATTCGGCAATCACGTGACCATACACCGACCACCCGACCGTCCGCGCCAGTCATACCAATGTTTAACCTCACACTTTCTAGCTAATTTGAGAGCCTGCAACCTGATATTGTACATCCATGTTTTGATTAATTGACAGCTGTCAAAATAGTGTTTCTGCTGACCAGTATCGCCTGACCGTATTGCGGACTCAGGTATCGACCCACTGAGTTTGAGTCTTTTTTTGAAGGTATCCGCTGACAAGTTGCTACTTTTCACATGATCGCAGGCTCTAGTTCAATTTTTTTTAAATGCATATGAAATAAGTCGTGTAAATTTGATTTCGAACTGACTTCGGACGCGAAAATTCAACCCGCTTTTACATGCAGGTTAGGCAATCGCTCTTGACTTTTCTCACTGTCACGCGTTGATCACGCTCTACGTCCAACTTTTATGTTCTGATTGGTCAAAATTTGACAGGTGAGTTCATGCGGAAAATTTATGCAGCGTCTGGAAACTTGCTTACTGATAGCTGGAGCTGACAGAGTTTTGTGTCATCTTGTGATGTTTTAAACTGTCGTTTTCTACTTGGTGTACAAAATGAAATACAGCTGCTAGCAAGATTGTTCTGTAATTCATGGCTGGTTTGTTTATTGCGCTTTATGTTGACAAATGCACCGGTTGTGAAAGTTATTGGAAATCCGATTTCGGATGGCATCGTTTTCAAGAATGAGCGTCCTCACTTGTCCTTGCTTGAGGCGTAAGAGGGTTGAAAAGTCTCCAGCGATTCTGGAACACTTGATGACCTTCAGAAGCAGCATCTCGACTGGTAAGCCTGAGCAATTATTGTCTTTGATGTGTGTGTTTTTTTTTTCGATTTCCTGAAGTCGAGCGTATGGTTTATGCGGCTTAAGTTTATACACGAGCGATGATCTAACCAACAATAGTATCAGGTTTAAAAAGCCTTTAGACATTTTTTGACCGCAAATTCAAAGAAAAGGTTCGAAAGATTATTTAGTTATGATTTTGGCTATAAACAGAAAGCTCTGAGCGATTTTCTTGCCTCGAGTTCATCTTGAAAAAGAGCAAACACCGGGAAGCCGGCTTAAAACATAAACAAGTTTATGCTTGCCTGACTCATGATTTTCAGAGACACTTTACTCTCAATACTTCTCTTCGTGAATGAAAATTATTGTCTCTGTACATGTTTCACCGAATTATATTTATTTTATTGATTGTTAGTAGTCCCTCCCGCAATTTTTATCGCTGCACCGGTTGTTTGCAGTCGAACATAAACATCGCATACAGGAATACTCAAAACGCCGCGCGTAAACATCACTCGCTTTTAAAGATTACACATAACAAAACCACATACACAGTTTAATGAATAAAGGGAAATAAAACCTAAACATAACAATTTCCCTATCGTGTTGAAGCGTAAATGGTAACTCTATTAATCGCACTGCAAATTTGCCTGTCAAAAGTGAGAACCCGTCCGGCTGGCCGAAAAGGTGTTTTTGGGAATTTTTTTTATCGTTTTCATGCTAAAAGCCCATAATTATTACCCTGCATATCACATAGGACCAGATTTTTCTAACGGAAAAGTCCCGCATTATGGAATTCTTTTCATGAAAACGTTTGATAATTCAATGCTATAATTTGTTTTGCAAAGGAAGCGCTTGCTTTGACGTCGTGGATATTGAATGAGTGCAAATTGTCTTACAAAATTGTGAAAAACTGCAGAATGATAGGGCAAAAAAAGAACAAATTCTGTCCAAGGTCTGTATGATAAAAAAGGGCCTCATAGTACTGTTTACCGGAGACGTGTTGAGAAAAAGTATGTTTAAAAGGCTGGTTTACACGCCACCAGATTTACTTGTAAACTAAACTTGTCGAACACAAAAAATCCGGCCTGATTTTTTATTTTGGCCTCCCTTTTAGAGAGATGAATGCAACGTGTCAATTGGCTGGCACCAAGGACTATCGTGGCTCGTGTGGTTCTTAAAATTATATTTCGGGGTTGTCCAATTATCCATAGTCTCTCTAACGGAACATTGTTGGAGAGACTGGTGAATGCGTGAATGAATTTATTAACGGGAGCTTCGCTTTTAGCCCTGGCTAAATCTATATATTACAGCTTGTACAAGAGGGCTTTATAGGCTTGAACTGTTTACTCCACCAACTTACCTACATTTTTCAGCACACTTGTCTTAAACTGATAGTTAATTATTGCATAGAACAAGAAGGACTTTTCAAGGTCTTCTACAGAAATTAAAGGACTTTTCAAGGACTTCCCCTAAAATTCAAGGACTGGTGGTCACGAAACTTTTTATTTTGTAAAGGCGAATCCGGAGTACCCAGAGTTTTTATTTCGTATTCTGTTAATATAAGAGCTGAACTTTGTCCTAGTATACATTTTGGCTAGGTATTACATATACTAAGGTGGATTTTTTTGGCCTATCAAGTTGATCATTTTTTACCCATTTTAAAAAGTGCGTTTGATGGTAGTTTTAAAAAACCGTGAAAAAAATTCAAAATCATGTTTATGGTTTAAAACATACCATGGATAGAAGTAGATCATTTTTACTCTAATTTTTTGCATAATTAATTAGGTAAAACCCGCTATTTTCGTTTTTCCTCATTTTCTCGAAAGCTGTAGATTCTTGAAAGTTAAAAATATTTTTTTCGACGATAGTTCCCCAAAGAGGTTTTTCTGACAAATTATCAGAATTTTCGATTTTTTTATTCTTGATATTTACAGTAATGGGTTCTTAAGCTAATTTAAGGACTCACCACTAGTTTAGCAGGCGAAGGAAAAACTCCTTGGGCAAACCTTCTTTGACCTCTATAAAGCTGTAGAACATGATCCCTAGTATAAATAAGGCAAAGCTATTACCGTACAGATCAAGTATACGCGATCCTGGCAACTGTTGGCCCAGGGTCTGGAAGGGTATTTTCGGGATCCGGGAATTGATTGAAATACAGTGAGGGACTCCGAAAAAGGCAACATTTTTTGACGGGATACGGGATTTGACCACTTTCAGGAAGCGGAATTGACTAAATTCTCGGCACGGGATGCGGTATTAAGAAAAGAAAACGTTCTTTTTGGAATAGAGATGACACCAGAAGTTCGAGATGCGGGATTGTCTTTAAAAAATGAGCGGGAATGCGGGATCAGGACCCCCCTTCCAGACCTTGTTAGTCGTGTTTGGTAGATCATTTGTTCATACGTTAG